GACTGAAGTCTACGAAAGCTCATGCTGCCAATGTATTTATTTCAGTTACTCTCAAAGGTGCTACAAGAATCTCTCTACGTACAGTTAAAGCAGTGGCAGACTACATTCATTCTGCAGTGCAGATGCAACGTCAGTCTAGTGGAGGAAGCCATACAAAGCCATACTTTGTAAGGCATTAATTTTTTTTTTTTTTTGATAACAGGATTTAGGGTCTCTTATTTGTTACCAGACGTTGAAGCTGACTTGATGGCCCATAACAACAGCAAGAGCAAAGAAGAACAAAGTGCCACAAGGAATGTTTACAATGCAAACCCAGGCATGCCAACTTTGGGGCTGGAACCAGAAGAACATTTTAAAATAATATCCTAAATATTTTATTTAAAAGCAACTCTCATCCCCAAAGTCATAGGTGAGGAGAAAATGGGCTGGCTCTGTCCTTAGGATGCCTACTGAGGACTGCATCAACATTGCAGAAATAATGCCATATTATACCACTTTAACTGCCATGGGTCAATGCAATGGAATTCTGGGATTTGTAGTTTGGGGCCACAACAAATTTCAAATCCCAGGATGCTGTCTGGACAACTCGCACCAGAACCAGGGATAGGTCCCTGCATTGCCAGGACTACTTGCCATGGGAATGGGAGGAGGACATTTTATTTGGCTTGTGCAGACTGGACTATATACATGGTTTTAAACTGTTTCAACTCTTAATTGTTCAATTATGTAATATGTTTTTAGAAAGTTTCTAAATGTTACTAAAAACATAGAAAGGGAAAATAATTGAAGAGTGACAGGCAGTGCAAAGAGGAACACAGGTTTTCTTTTTAAACACACACACACACACACACACACACACAAATAAAGGTAGTCATTACTTTCAGCAAAAGCTATGATGATTAATACACTGGAATTAATAACGTCTAAAAGGTAAATGTCCAGGGTGGCGGCAATATGGCTATTTTGCATTTAAATAGTTCCCATAATCTTCCTGGTTTTCTTTGTTGCTACCTAGCTATCACACAGGGGTCCTTGCTATGGAGTAACCTTGCTTATCTCACAAGTGTATAAATCACACAAATTGTTGTCACTAATTAATAAGGGCAAAGTTGGGCCACTGTTGCAACAGAGAGAGTGCATGTAAACAGGCACAAAGGAGCAGTCTGCAAAGGCCCTAAGAGGAGATGAAAGATTTCAACTTTCTCTCTGATCCAATTACGTGCAAGAGACTAACCTGTAAATAAGCAAGGCATGAAGCTTATGGATGGAGCAAGCTTGTTTTCTGCTGCTCCAGAGAATAGGATCCAGAACAATGGATGCAAGCTACAGGAAAAGAGATTCCACCTCAACATTAGGAGGCACTTCCCGACAGAAAGAGCTGTTCAACAGTGCAACACGCTCCTTTGGAGTGTGATGGAGTCCCCTTATTTGGAGATCTTTATTTAGATGGCCATCTGTTGGGGGTGCTTTGACTGTGAGTTCCTGCATGGCAGGGGGTTGGACTGGATGGCCCTTGTGGTCTCTTCCAACTCTATAATTCTATGATTCTATGATTCTAAGCTGGCCCCAAATCGTTACATTTTATCAAACATGGTTCCTTTTTAGCCCATATACAAATGCACTGAAATTGACACACCCTCCGACCATTCACATATGGAAACTGGGCACATGAGACCAAAAGACACCAGAATGTGGTCAAAATGGCAAAGGGTATTAATGAGGAAGAACACATAAGGTAGGATAGACTGCATCAGTTTGCTATTGCCTGATCCCACTATGGACCTAAAATACCCTAAAAGGACCAGATCCTGTCCTGTTTGACCTTGGAATCTAAGCAGGGTCAGCCCTGGGTAGTACTTGGATGAGAAACCACCAACAAATACCAGGTGCTATAGGCTATATTTCAGAGGAAGGAACTGGCAAACTCACCTGAGAGGATTCTTCATCAACCAATGATTCCCAAAGTTTGGTCCAGTCACCTTGGCCAACTTGGTTTAGGACTTCAGCATCCAGAATTCCTGACAGTTGGCCAAGGTGGCTGGGGCTTCTGGGAATTGAAGTCCAAAACACCCGGAGGACCAAAGTTTGGTGTCACTGTGGTTAGTGTCACCTGGTGCAATAACTCATGTTATCACCCCCTCCATTGACTTCCTCCCATACTACAGCAATACAGAATCCTTAGTAATGTTTTTTTGTACTAACGTTACTCATAAATCATAATTCCCATATGTTTTTAATGGTAACAGTTGTAATGGTAACAGTTGTGTAATGTAATGGTAACAGTTGTGACATAAAACAACTAATTAAATTACCATATCATATGCACAGAATAAATGTGTTTACATATACATAGTTTCATGTGGTTAAAGTGAAAATTTGATAAAACGTGAGAGTTTTAAATATTTTTTTTAAAAAATGTAAATTTAATTTTAAATTTAATTTTTTAATTTAAAATTTAAATTTCAAACTTTTAAATTTTATTTTATTAAGAAACCTGAGGCCTCTCCTTTTCCCTCCCACCCCACTCACACTATACCTTCAGTATTTTATAAAGATACAAGCCACAGCCTGTTCTGCCAAACTACAGATGTTTGAGGAGCAGTGGTGTAACCCAACGTAGGGTGTCACCTGGCGTGGTCCGCACTCCCCTAGTGGGTCGCCTAAGAAAACCCTATTAAATTAATGGGTTCACCATAAGTTGACAGAAGACTTGGAGACACACACACATACATACAGAGGGAAGGGCAAAATTCTGCCCTCATTTCCTCTCCCACTCACTATTGACTGCTGTTGAGTGCAAACTCCTTTTGCTTTTTGAAGATGGAAGGAGGAGAGAAAAACTGGGCTATTTTAAAAGCCTCTGAAAAAGTGAGAGAACAGAAAATTATAAGTTAGACTTTTCCTGCCAAATCAGGACAGTTGGAGGGTATAAAATGACAGCTCTGTCTCTGAAAGAAAATTGTATGTTATCCGAAAAAGCAAACCTAATGAGATACTTCCCAAATGTATTTTATATATTATTTATTTATTTATTTATTTATATCCCGCCTTTCTCATGGAAAGGGACTCAAGGCGGCTGACATCAAATTAAGAATGAAGTGCACAAAATTGAATTTGATAGAAAAGTTCAAGAAGGAATTAAACAAAGACACTATTGAACTTAAACACACTATTAAATTGCCACAATTTAAATACATTAAAATGTAGTAAAAAGATAACAACATAACATGCTGCTGTGTGCCTTCAAGTCATTTCCAACTCTAAGGTGAACCTATAATTGGTCTTATTCCAGAGGAGGCTTGCTTTGTCTTCCTCTGAGGCTGAGACAGTGTGACATGCCCAAGGTCACTCAGTGCATTTCCTCTGTTTTCCAGAGTTCAGTGTATTTACATGTACAAACAGAATAGTTTAAATCAAGGATACACAAATGCCAGGGATTGAGGGATTGCATTGACCCTCCATGGGACTCTGGATGGCCAGGCTCCCTCCCCTTATGCCCCAACTTTTAAAAACTTTTAAAATAATCAGCCCCAAATTATCCTCTATGCCCCATAGAGGGTGTGAAGAGCTACTTCATCTTGTTTTTGGCTTAGGTCATAGGGATTCCTAGAGAGAACACTTCTCTAGGCATTTGTAGGTCCTCCAGTGCAATTCTATGGTCAACTTCCAGCAGATGCTGACCATAGAGGTGCACTGGAGGACCTTGATATTTGTAAAGAGGTGTTCTCTCAGGTTTAAAAAATAGTGGGTTACTTATTTGCAGTTTTTCAACTTTCATGGGGGTTATGTGCCCCTAACTCCATGAATGTGGAGGGCTCACTGTAGTTCCAATTAAAGTAGGTCCGTTAAAATCAATGGAGATGTGGTAAATCAATTGCTTGTGTAAATTTGCTCTTTCAATGCATCTAGTGTGCTGCAGTGGTTTGAGTGTTGGACTACGACTCTGGAGACCAATATTCAATTCCCCACTCAGGGTGATTTTGGACACATCACACTCTCTCAGCCTCAGGGAAGAAAAAGTCAGCGTGGTGTAGTGGTTTGAGCATTAGACTATGACTCTGGAGACCAGGGTTCGATTCCTGGCTTGGCCATGAAACCCACTGGGTGACCTTGAGGAATTCACATGCTCTCAGCCTCAGGGACGGCAATGACAAACTTCCTCTGAACAAATCTCGCCAAGTAAACCCCATTATAGGGTCGCCATAAGTCGGAAATGACTTGAAGGCACACAACAACAACAAACTCTGCTTAGGACTTACAGTTGGATTTAGTTCATTAAAGATGTCATGAACTTAACAATTATTAAACAGAATGAAAAACAAGAGTTTTTAAAGCAGTGATGGCAAAACTTTTAGGGTCCGAGTGCCCAAACTAAAAGGCCT